CTCAGTGTGCAGGAAAACACAATATGACTACGAGGAGAGGAGGCGGGCTGAAGATGGTAGGTGGAGTCAGCTTGCTGAAAGAAGGCAGGAGTCAATGCTCAGGCTGCTGGAGGATCAAACTCATATGCTCAAGCGTATGGTTGAGCTGCAGGAAAGGCAGCAGGAGCACAGACTGCTGCTACAGCCCCTGTGTAACCAACTGCCCTCCTCACCAGGTTCCATAGCCTCCTCACCCGGACGCCCAAGAACGAGGTGGGGGGGCGGCCTCTGGCCACCCAGCCACTCCACCCCAGAGGATTGCCCAAGCAATAGAAGGCTGGCATTCAATAAGTTTTAAAGTGCTGTGTGGCCTTGTCCTTCCCTCCTCCACCACCCCACCCAGTGCTTCCTTCCTCCACCACCCCTCCCGGGCTACCTTGGCAGTTATCTCCCTATTTGTGTGATGAATAAATAAAGAATGCATGAATGTGAAGCAACAATGACTTTATTGCTTCTGCAAGCAGTGATTAAAGGAGGGTGGGGAGGGTGCTTAGCTTACAAGAAAGTAGAGTGAACCCGGGGGGGGGTTTCCATCAAGGAGAAACAAACAGAACTTTCACACTGTAGCCTGGCCATTCCTGAAACTGGTTTTCAAAGCTTCTCTGATGCACACTGCACCCTCCTGTACTCTTCTAACCGCCCTAGTGTCTGGCTGTGCGTAATCAGCGGCCAGGCGATTTGCCTCAACCTCCCACCCCGCCATAAACGTCTCCCCCTTACTCTCACAGATATTGTGGAGCACACAGCAAGCAGTAATAACAACGGGAATGTTGGTTTCGCTGAGGTCTAACCATGTCAGTAAACTGCGCCAGCGCGCTTTTAAATGCCCAAATGCACATTCTACCACCATTCTGCACTTGTTCAGCCTACAGTTGAAGAGCTCCTTACTACTGTCCAGGGTGCCTGTGTATGGCTTCATGAGCCATGGCATTAAGGGGTAGGCTGGGTCCTTAAGGATAACTATAGGCATTTCAACATCCCCAACTGTTATTTTCTGGTCTGGAAAGTAAGTCCCTTCCTGCAGCTTTTGAAACAGACCACAGTTCCTGAAGATGCGAGCGTCACATACCTTTCCTGGCCATCCCACGTTGATGTTGGTGAAAAGTCCCTTGTGATCCCCCAGTGCTTGCAGCACCATTGAAAAGTACCCCTTTCGGTTTATGTACTCACTGCCTTGGTGCTCCGGTGCCAAGATAGGGATATGGGTTCCGTCTATTGCCCCACCACAGTTGGGGAATCCCATTGCAGCAAAGCCAACCACTATGACCTGCACATTTCCCAGAGTCACTACCCTTGATAGCAGCAGCTCAGTGATTGCGCTGGCTACCTGCATCACAGCAGCCCCCACAGTAGATTTGCCCACTCCAAATTGATTCCCGACTGACCGGTAGCTGTCTGGCGTTGCAAGCTTCCACAGGGCTATCGCCACTCGCTTCTCAACTGTGAGGGCTACTCATCTTGGTATTCTTGCACTTCAGGGCAGGGGAAAGCAAGTCACAAAGTTCCATGAAAGTGCCCTTACACATGTGAAAGTTTCGCAGGCACTGGGAACCGTCCCAGACCTGCAACACTATGCGGTACCACCAGTCTGTGCTTGTTTCCCGGGCCCAGAATCAGCGTTCCACGCCATGAACCTGCCCAATTGACACCATGATGTGCACACTGCAGGGGCCCGTACTTTGTGAGAAGTCTATGTTCATGTCCTCATTACTCTCGTCACCGTGCTGCAGTCGCCTCCTCCTCGCCTGGTTTCGCTTTTCTTGCAGATTATGGTTCTGCATATCCTGCTGGATAACGCATGCGGTGTTTATAGTGCTCGTAATTGCAGCGGTGATCTGAGCGGGCTCCATGTTCCCAGTGCTATGGCGTCTGCGCTGAAAAAAGGCGCGAAACGATTGTCTGCCATTGCTCTGACGGAGGGAGGGGTGACTGACAACATGGTTTACCGGGTTGGCTTACATGGAATTAAAATCAACAAAGGTAGTGGCTTTGCATCAAGGAGAAATAGAATGGCCCCCTCAAGGATAGAACTCAAAACCCTGGGTTTAGCAGGCCGTTGATTTCACGGAGGGAGGGAGGAAGGGGGGGGAAAATGAATACAAAACAAATCTGGTCTATTTCTTGTTTTGATCCACTTCATCTATCTTTATACATCTTGCTGGCAGCAGATGGTGCAGTATGACTGCTAGCCATCGTCATCTCCTGGGTGCTCGGCAGAAGACGGTGCAGTATGACTGCTGGCCATCGTTGTCTCCTGGCTGCTCATTAGAAGACAGTGCAGTACGACTGCTGGCAGGACTGAATCGCCATGAGACGAAACTTAAAAGGGAAATGACCTGGCTGAGTCACTCCCATGTTTGCCCAGGCACCCCGACCAACCTCACCGAGGTCGGCTAAAAGAGCACCCTGGAGTACGGCGATGATGGCTACCAGTCATACTGCATTGTCTGCTGCCAAAAGGCAATGAGCTGCTGCTGTGTAGCAATGCAGTACCGCATCTGCCAGCACCCAGGAGACATACGGTGACGGTGAGCTGAGCGGGCTCCATACTTGCCGTGGTATGGCGTCTGCACGGGTAAGCCAAGAAAAAAGGCGCGAAACGATTGTCATCCGTTGCTTTCACAGAGGGAGGGAGGGAGGAAAGGGGGGCCTGACAATATGTACCCAGAACCACCCACGACAATGTTTTTGCCCCATCAGGCACTGGGATTTCTACCCAGAATTCAAATGGGCGGTGGAGACTGCGGGAACTGTGGGTTAGCCACCCACAGTGCAACGCTCCGGAAGTCGACGGTTGCCTCGGTACTGTGGACGCACTCCGACTACTAAATGCACTTAGAGCATGTGTGTGGGGGGAGACGCAATCGACTGTATAAAAACGCTTTCTACAAAACCGACTTCTATAAATTTGACCTAATTTCATAGTGTAGACATACCCTAAGACAGCTACAAGTCACACAACCTGCCTTCTTGGCTTCAATGGGAAATGCCTCTCCAGCAGACGCCAGTGAAAGGGAAGGAAAACAACAACAACAGGACAAAAAAAAGAAAGGCAGAAAACAACACAGAACAAGAGTAGAAAGGGTGCATTTTTACACAGAAGAACCCACACACACACACACAACAATTCTAGGGAATAAGAGGAAGCTACTGCCATACAGAGAAAACCTGAGCAACTTTCCCTTAGGTGGCACTGATCACTCCCATTGCAAAGTACATCTTGTCTATGCGTCTTGCAGACCTCAAGAAACGAAGACCTTAGAAACAATCCAGTTTGGTGTGGATAGGTCCGTTTTCACTTTCATCTTGAAAACTGATTAGCACATCACTTCCATAAAACAAAAAGTCTCAAAAGTTCCCATAGCACTTTGAACTTTTATTGTCACCCAATACCTCAGGAAACTGTGAACCAGTTTACAGACCAATTTGTTTCCTTTTAAGAATTCCCCAAACCAGGGTCAGCCCCACTATGGCCTTTTACTTCTGAAGCCACTCTTCTTTCTGCTTTTGTTTCAGTGCCCCAGAGCAGTGGTTCTCAACCAGAAGTACGTACCCCTGCGGGTTCACAGAGGTCTTCCAGGGGATACATCAGCTCATCTAGATAATTGCCTAATTTTTCAAAAGGCTGCATAAAAAGCACTAGCAAAGTCAGTACAAACTAAAATTTCATGCAATGACTTGTTTATACTGCTCTATAGACTATACACAGAAATAGAAGTACAATATTTATATTCCAATGGATTTATTTTATAATTCTATGGACAAAATGAGAAAGTCAGCAATAGTGCGCTGTGCCACTTTTGTATTTTAGGTCTGATTTTGTAAGCAAGTTGTTTTTAAGTGAAGTGAAATTTGGTGGTTCAGTAGTCTGAAAAGATTGAGAACCACTGCCCCAGAAGACAGAGAACATTGCTCTCTGCCTGTCTTTTCACTTGCTCAAACCAACCTTTGACAGTGCTGTCTCTCAGTTAACACCTGATTGGAAAAGACTTTCAGTTGAGGGGCATTGGGTAAGAGAGTATATTAATAATTCCCTGTTTGTACATAGCACCTTCCATCCTTAAAGATCCCAAGGTAATTTCTACAAGCCTTAATCAAACAGGAGCTAAATTCCATCAACTGGTATGTAGCAAAACAGTAAGATATAGCCGAAGCTGCCGATTGTTCGAGTTTTTTGTATTGTAAAGAAAGAGCTAAGAATCTTTGAGACAAAAGGCTGATAGGTCAAAATACCCAGAGACTTGTGGATGCTTTAAAGAGCTCTTTACACATGAACTTTTGGAAAGTGAAATGGGAACGTCTTACACCAGCCACTCTTATTTTGGACTCCAAAGCTATCACTGGAAGCAATAAAAGAGAGAAAGATGCTTTCTGAAGGCTTCTACATTGCACCAAGTTTAGTTTGCAAATGAAACAACTGGGTGAAGTCCCAACACTTCTACAAGTTTTTGGTCATGACCACCCAACAGTTGCTGAGTTTCTGAACCCTTGCCCATAAAGTCATGCGATAGAAGCTCGACCTGGAGAAGCTGCGTTACCGATTACCCAGTCCATGCCACCTACCAAGGAGAGATTGCTTCCCATTTATTAGCATTTAATCCTGCCTAGTTTTAAAAGAAAAGGAGTACTTGTGGCACCTTAGAGACTAACAAATTTATCTGAGCATAAGCTTTTGTGAGCTACAGCTCACTTCATCGGATGCATTCAAGTAGCTCACGAAAGCTTATGCTCAAATAAATGTGTTAGTCTCTAAGGTGTCACAAGTCCTCCTTTTCTTTTTGCGGATACAGACTAACACGGCTGCTACTCTGAAACCTAGTTTTAAATGGTTTTCCAATACCTCATTTGCCAAGAACTTGCTAGGATGACCTTTCCCATTTACACCCTCCCCACAGGACCCTATGCTAGACCCCAACCTTGTTTCCATCCTATGCTCCAACCTCCAGAGCCACCTCACTCACCTGTCGCAGGTGTTTCAGCAGTTCAGTCGCCTCCTCCTGTTTCCCTTGCTTCACTAGCAGCAGCATGTCCTGGATCATACTGATCCGCCGGTGATAAGGGGGCAAGTTCCCACCACTCTTCCCAAACTTATCACTGGACTTCACCATGAAGGAAGCTAGGAAGTCTCCCCGGTCCCTAGCTGGCATCTTCTTGCGGGAGCCTGGATTGTGTGACTGGGGGCTCTCCCCTGCACCGGGAGGCTGGCATCCTTTGGTCTGCTTGGTGCCCATGGTATAGCCAAGCCACCAGGAGCCTCACCTGAAACGCCTCCCCTGGGCTTCATGCAAAAGCATTTGGTCTCGGTAGCCCCTGGTGGGAAGCGAGGCAGCTGGGCAGCAGATCTCAGCAGCTCCAAGGCAGGGTGCCCGCTCTGTGCCCGCCTCAGTGGAAGTGCAGACCCCCAGCACTCTGAGGGTCGCCCCCGCAGGGACGCAGAGCTGGAGGGCTTCGTTCACCAGACAGAAATACAACCGGCATCGTCCCTCATTGCTGCCAGCAGGGAAAAAAAAACAAAACAAAACAAAAACCCCACACGATTGGAAACAAAATCCAGGGAGCTTCTTACCAACGGCCCCAGAGCACCCCAGTGGCCAGGGGCAGGGGGCTGGCCCCAGGGCTCATGGCAATACTCGGCGGCTTCTCCCCCACGCCTCGCTCACAAGCGGGGGGCTCTCCCCCACGGAGAGCTGGGCACAGCCCGCAGCCCCACGGGCATGAGCCGAGCCGCGAACGCCGCTTCTCCGGGACCGGGGGGAGACGCCGCGGACACGCCGCCCGGCTCCGGGCCGCGGGGTGGTGCGGCTGAGAGCCGTCAGCCCCCGCCCATCCTGCCAGGCCCCCCGCACTGCCCCGGGGCTGGCTCAGTCCCGGCTCCCGGGCTGCGGGGCGCCGCTCCCCATCTCGGCCGGGCCGGAGCCGCCGGGCGTCCGCTCTAGCGGCGGCAGCAACTTCGGGGGACCTGTTGCATGCCCCCGAACAAAGGCGGCGGGCGGGGGCGGCCCCCCTCCGGCAGGAATCAAGCCCGGGCACCCGCCGGGGCTCCGCAGGGCGCGGCCAGGCGGGGTCCCCGGCCCCCGCCCGGGGCAGGGCGCAGCTCGCTCGGGGACGGAGCCAGGCTGGGGCCGGCCGCTGCACCGCCGGGAGGAGGGAGGGCTCGGCGCGCCGGGGCCGGTCTGCGGGAGGAAGCGGGATCCGGACGGGCTCCTCCTGGCTCCGGCTCCGGCTCCGGCTCTCCCCCTGCTGCCCGGCTGGCTGCGCTGCAGCGGGGAGCGAGCGCCGAGCCCCGGGCTGCTCCCCGCGGGGCGGCGGCGGCGGCGGGCGAGAGCCGCGGCCCCGGGGCCAGCCTCCTCCCGGCGCTCCCTGGGACCCGAGAGCGGGCCGCCTCGCCCGCCCGGGGAGCCCCCTGCACGCGGGGGGGGGGGTCCGCTGCGGGAACCGCTCCCCCCAGGGGCGGAGGTAGGTCCTGGCGCAGCAGGAGTTGTCGAGAGCCCGCAGGCTGCTCCCTGGCCGGGGGGCTGAGCAGTCAGGGCAGGAGAGGCGGTTTCAGGCATTAAAGCAAAGGGAAGCAAAAGACAGAAGGCCGTGAAGGGGATTTAATAAATATTATTATTATTTCCAACGACCCAGCCACGCTTTCCAAACCCAAACAGGTACCTCCCTTCCCGGGCTGGAGCCTCCTTGCCTGCCAGTTTCTATCATTTATCCCACAAGGATCAGTTCTCACTCCGGTCCTAATCAAGATCTACATGCACCCAGGCCGGGCACTGGTCTGACAACAGGGACTCGAGCACTACATCGGTGACACAGCTCTACCTATCCTTCACCACCTGCAATCACACCACCACGACCACCCCCCACATGGCCCGGGGCTTGGACGAGATCAGCAAAGGGCTGGCGCTGAACCCAGGCAAGAGAGAGGTGATGCTAGTGGGCAGAGGAAAGTATTTTGAGGCATTTGCAGCCACTGCCCAGTCTCCTTTGCCTGAAGGTTCACACCTACAACTGGTCAATTGAGTCAGCAGTCCAGGAGGCTCCTGACTTCCTCGCGGATGCTGAGCTCTCAGCATTACACACCGATGCTGCTATGTTTCTACCATCTCCAGCTGGCTCGGAGACGCCTTCCCATCCTGACAAACGATGACCTGGCCTCAGTTATTCACGTCTTCGTGCGTTCTCGGCAAGACCGCAGCCGTCCAGTATGCCTCCACACAGTACAGACTGCTGCAGAGCATCTCCTCAGCTGCACTGGCTCCTGTGAGCACAGCCAACCTTGCCTCCACTCACACCTTGGGCTTCCCATCGAATATCAACTCAGGTTCACGGTCCCCAGCCTTATCATCAAGGGATTCAGTGGCCTGGGCCCAAGGTATCTAAAGACTGACTTAACCCCAGGATAAAGTGTGTGGTTGCCAACTATGCTCCTCTGCCCCAACGGAGCTCTCTACAAGAAGGGTAAGGCTCGTCTGCACAGGAGACAGAACTCTCCTGGAGGCCAGCCCAAGACTGTCAAATGAACTTCCCCAGGAACTGAGCACCATCACAAACCTTACCACCTTCCACTCGAAAGGCAAGATGCATTTCTTTGACCTTGCTTTCCCCAATGTAAACATACAGCAGTGTGTATATATATTACTACAAAACAAAACAAAAAACCCCACTCCTCTGCACACACGTCTCTCCCTGGGAGGGTTAACTTCAACAGGACTCCTTGTGGCCATAGCCCATACAGGGATCTGACAGTATGGTCCCCTCAAAGTCTAAACCTGCCGGGACAATGCATCAAAAAAGTGTACTTTGTTGCTTTCTTTGACACCTGTAGTTTAGTTTTGAATTCTTTACATAATACAGTCAGGCCATGCTAGGAAATGCACCGTAGTATAGTTTATAAAAATCACAGTGTCATAGTAAAGCAAGACTTCACTACCATATTTGCTATTAAATCTAGAGGTTGGGGAGAGGCAGCCAAATTTTGAATAGGGATTATAGAACATGTGGGCAAGTGATATAGGAACGAACAAGATTCTTCTCCCATCTCTTTGTCTGAACCTCCCTTGGCCCAGAGAGTTAGATTCTAATCCTACAAGCCAGTGTGCGCAAGCAGAACCCTACAGGGAGCCTCCTTACTAACCTAGAGCTGGTTCCTGCACCACTGTCATCAATAGGAGCAGAGCCTCTGGACACAAAACTTGCCATTGTTGGATAGGTTTCCCCATATGAATGAACTTAGCCCAATTACTGTTTGTTGAGTGACAACAGTGTGCCCAGCCCTGTCAATACATAGCCTCTCTTTGTAACACAAACTAGCAGCCAAGAGACTTCAGGCCCAGAATGCTCTGGCTTGACCCAGAGGATGGTCCCATGTCAGTGCATGTTCCTTACTGAAGGCTATAGAACCGTTAGCTTCTTTCTGCACGGAAGATATATCTATTGTAAATTGAGAAGTCGGCAAGCCAGTATCAGCTCATCACGCTGTAGAATATAGGAAATGAGCGCGGGAGAGAGAAAAAACACAACACTGAGGTTGAGATCCAGGGCTCCTCTGAACTACAGAATTTCAAATGAGAAGTCAAGAGCAGCATGCCATGCATTATGCTCAGAGAAGTCAGCAGGGCCGGGCAAGCCTTTTCCAGAGAGATGCTTTTGACTGGAGTAGAGGGTCTTGTTAGAAATTAAAGTGTCCCCAACCAAAAATAAATGGTACAGGCTCTGCTGCATTTCTTGTTAAATGAATCGATGCTTGGTGACAAGGTCTTGCACTGATGGCCCAGGAGACCGATTAGCCACAAAACGGGTACAGCCTGGCCTAGCTGCAACTCAGGCTTCCAGTGCCAACACATTTTTCCTGCTGATAATAGCCCACCTTAATTGATTAGTCTCGTTAGAGTTGGTATGGCAACACCCTTTTTCATTTGCTCTGTGTGTATATATATCTTGCTACTGTATTTTCCACTGCATGCATCCAATGAAGTGGGTTTTAGCCCACGAAAGCTTATGCCCAAATAAATGTGTTAGTCTCTAAGGTGCCACAAGTACTCCTCGTTCGTTTTTTTGTTTGTTTTTTAAAGGATAGAGAAAGGCAAGACACCCAGTGGGCCAGATTTTCAGAGATCGAGCCTGTAATTGCTAGGGTTCATTGGCCACATGCATGAACAATATTCAGTTAGTGTGTGTGGTATTTTCTATACACTCGAATTGTGCCCAAATGTGCACATGCAATTGAGAGTGCCTAACCGTAAGAAATATATATCCGACTCTCTCTCTCTCTCTCATTGGGAGCCACATATACCCTGCAGTCCTCAGCAGGCCTGATCTTTCTTTGTACCTGTCTGACTGACTATATATTCTGCTATTCACTGATTATATGTCCTAAGCCAATGAGAGATTTTTCTTAGTACAGCTGACTATATCCAGGTGTGCAAACTGCAAGCTAATCAGCATTTCCATAGGAGAGCTTTCTGGCTTGTTCATGTGCCTCAGGAGATCTGGCACTGGGATTTACTAGTTAGAAAAGTCCAGGATTCAAAAAGGACTTAAAAATTTCAATACCGAGACTATGGAAGAAAACTGACTGGTTAGACTTTTGTCCAGCTCAAACCCTGGATCTGCCTCCCTCCACGTGTTGAGGAAGTTCATATCCAGGTCTACACTCTGCAGCCAGTCTCTCTCTAACGACCTGAGCCAAAAATCCAGAATCTAAAATTCTCTTAGACTTCAAGGACATTTGGATGCAGATGAGAATTTTGCAGGCCAAGACTCATCACTCGCTGGGAGACGACAGAATCTGGAGCCACAGCATGGAGCATTCTCGATATTGGTCCACCCTGTAATGGGAATTCGAGACACCCAATTTCCCCACGCACAACAAGCTTTTCATATCCAAACCACCTGGAAAAGGACAGAAGTTAACTACATTGGATTTTCTTTCCAACCCAGGAAGTTGCCAAGATAGACAAAACTTGGAAAAAACCTGAATTGAGAAGTCAGCAAACCAGTATCAGCTCATCACTCTGTAGAGTATAGGAAATGAGAAGGGGAGAGGGGAAAAAAAAATGAACACTGAGGTTGAGATCCGGGGCTCCTCTGAACTACAGAACTACCCAGTTCAGGAAAGCATCCATGGTCACAGTGACTTAGCAGCAGAGCAAGGAAGAAAACACAGGTGATGTGGCTACTGTAGCGGACTATTCTGCTGACCAAAATCAGGTCTATGCTAGAAAAAAGATTGTTGGTATAGCATAGCTGTGCTGGCAAAGGGCAAACGCTCCTGGCATGGACCCAATTTATACCGGCAATAGCCAGAATAACTGCATCGACACTAGGGTTTTTGCTAGTATAAAAAAATACCACTAAGCAACATTACTATAATCGGCAAACGTTTTTAGTGCAGACACGGCCTTATTATGAGACAATCTTGGGCAAGTCATTTCAATTCTCTGTGTTTCATTTCATTCCTGCAAAACAGGAAGAGTTTTATTATCCACCTTTGTAAAGCACTCTGCACTTTCATTTGATTTCAAAGTATGCTTGTACCCATAACTCACAATATGCTCCTCGTTATCCCATGACGAGAAGCAGCATGCTCTCCTTTCTTCATTCACTGGGACCATGGGCTGTTCTGAGAACATCTCATTGGTTGCTTACTTACTGAGGCTCGCTAAGGAGAAAACTTAATATTGACCATGCTTGAGTCCCCCGAATACACCAGGTTACTTTTACACCTCAGGGAAGCAATAGGCTGTAATAAAAGCGGTGTTGATTTTTGGCATTGGCAAATGCTATTTAATGATTGATGCTCATCAGAAGAATGAAAAGATTTCTTTTGTTTAGACATCAGGGAGGATTTGTTCAATGCAAGGGGATTTACTGCACTGGGGTAACTCACACTGGCATTTCATAGGGGCTGTGAGGATAAATCCCCGTGCATCAGCTTACTGCTTTCTCTTTCTA